CTCTAATTACGTTTTTTAGATTTTTAAAAATGCGCGATTCCGCTGTTAAACTTTATTTTATCAAAATGACAAAAACCACTATTTATCACGAAAATCCAGGTATACTAACTAAAAGTAAATTTGAAGACAAATTTAACACAGATATTTAAATGTATCACTCTTTTTAAGAGTCAGATTAAAAGTATTCTACCAAACTAGCAAAAACCAACATTTAACAACGCCAAAGAAGTTAAAACCTACGCTATATTTTTAGACTATTTTTATACCTTATTAAAAAATGTTAAGCTACTGGTTTTAACAAAGAGATATACATTACATAGTAAAATCTTTAATATGTTTTATAAGTCTTTAAAATTGCACAGTTTTGTAAATAAACATGACAATAACATATTAAAATTAATAAAACTTATTATGCATTTTAGTAAAATCGCGAGGATATGATTTGTCATTTTCAATCTTGTGACAAAACAAATCTTTTCTTTGGATATAATTACAGATAATCTTTAAGAAAATGAGCTGATTTAGGAATCTGATAGGTATTTATGAGAATATCTTGTTACATAAAAAGTCTAGCCAAGGAAGCACTATTAATGTCAAAGGTGTATCTGAAAATTTCTATGAAAATGTATGTCTACCACACTTTAAACAGAAGTCAAAGATAGGTGGATAATTTAAACTAAGCCTGTGAAAATTAAATGAGATTTAACAAATGGGTAAACCCCTGCTATCCCAGACCTTGTAAATATAAATAGGATTTAAAAGAATTTTTGAAACATCAACAGATGTGCAATGGCCAGTTATAAAGGTTTTACAATTGTTATATATATATATATATATATATATACAACCCACTTAAGGTATTTTATTGGTTTAAACATTAAAGATTGTGGTGATTCTGAAGAGTATCATATAATAAGTCCCTTACAATTAGCATATAATAACCCAACTAAAAGGTAATTATATTTTATTTTCCACAATAAAGTTAGGTACCAGGTTATGGAACAGACTTCCACAGAAAGTGGATGATCTCACCACCTCAAATTCATTTAGATATTTATAACAAATGGATTTGTTCAATAGTTTATTTAAAAAATGCTTTAATTGTCAAAAAAATCAATGCATCTATTATAATAATTATTATTTTCACAAGCTTTATAAAAATCAAAGTTTCAAAAAAAAATTCACAGCTATGAAACAAGATAAGTTCTCAGAAAAGTTTAATATTCCAGTCTTACCTTGGGAAAAAACTTCACGAATTATATACCCAGGTAAAGAATGTTTTAACAAAACTTTGAGCATGAATAAATTTAGAACTAAATAAACTTTTGAGTTTTTTGGTGATAACTTTTTATACTCTGGTTGAATTCTGAATTCCAGGAGCCCTATTTAAATAGGTAAGTACTTTTAATATGATATGATTCATACCTACATATATGTGTTTTATTTAATCAAATATATGTATACTTTTTTAAATACAGTGTATTAGCCCCATATACAGTAAGTAGGGTGAACTGTCTGGTTATTGACCATGTCCCAGTAAATGACCAATATTTACTGATTTCTCAATTTTTTTTATACATTTGACAACACTGCTCATAATCGGCAGTTTACAAATGTCAATTAAAAGTGCATGTGTTTTTGATTCCTACTCAAATAACCACAAGTAATTAAGGTAAGTCGAGCTAAGTTTTTTTTTTATTTTGTAAAAAATATGTATTAAAGTTGTAAAACTGTTATGTTATTTGGACTAAACTGCATGAAACAAGATCAAATTTAGTATTTTTTAGGCAGTAATACTAATATAACCTCAAAAAGCATTTATTTTTTAAATAGGTAATGCTAAAGCTGAGAAATTCAGTGAATGAAGGAATGTGGTAATTTACTGGGTTGGCAGGAACTTTAAAATAATTTGTTTTGATAATGTACTTTAATCACTATATGGATGCTTCTTTTATGCAAGCATTGCAAATAATGAGGGAATTGACTGGCCTATAGATGACCACTCTTATTATCTAAATGCTCTACTGGTCATTCACTGGATATTTAGCCTAGTCAATGACTTTTTGCTGTTTATGTATTAAAATATTATTTTTGCAATAAAGCAATTGTGTAACATTTATTTTAAGATGACAGAAGAACCCAATAGAGCATATACAAGATATAAGTATTCCATTGAAGATCTAAAAGCTGCAGTGACAGAAGTCCAAGAAGGAAGAATTAGTGCTACTAAAGCCAGTAAACAATTTAAAATTCCAAAAGGCACTTTAATTAATAAACTGTATGGAAAATCCGATGTTTCAGTAAGAAAGATGAACCCACCAAGAATCTTGACTGCTCAGGAAGAAGATATGTTGGAGAATTGGATAATCCCAAAAACAAAAAATATGAAAAATGTTCTAATAATGATGGACACAGAAACTGATGATTATCAGGAAGTTGAAGAAATTAGAAATGTAGATGATATAAATAAAGAAAATCAAGAAACTGCCCCGGAGATTACCCAAAAAAAAAATGAAAATTTATGTGAACAAATTGAGGAAGAAATGGAACATGTAGAAAACCAAGACAATACTCAAAATAAAAGCATCCAAATTGAAAATCAAAATGAGGAAAATGAGTCAAAAGAAACACAATTGGGATTTAAATTTTAGCTCAAAAAAATCTCTTAAAGTTCAAGATTCCTGTAAGGGACACTTACACTTTCCAAGGTTGGAAATTGCCACTAAAAAAAAGTGTTAAAGAAAAAGCCCCTTTGGCAATAACTTCCAAATATTGGAAAGAATATCATGAGAAGAAAGAAGAACAAAAAAGAATTGCTGAAGAATTTAAAAGAGCAAAGAAAAAAGTTAGAGAGGAAAAAAAAAGTAGACATGAAGAATTAAACAAATATAAAGAAAATAGACCAAAAAAGTTCAAGTGATTCGAATATTTCAGATGAAGAATCTTTAGAGGAAATTGAACAAGAAAACCAGGATGAAAATGAAATCAATGAATCTATGCCACCAACTACATTTACCATTGCTGATTTCGTGATTGTCAAATATGAAGAGTCATGTGTAAAAGTGCACAAAATTGGAAATGGCCAGAAAAAAATAACCAAATATGGTATAAAGAAGAGGATGTCATTAAAAAGATTGAACCACCAATGCTGATATGTAGTGGAGGAAATGTGTATTCAGTTCCTGAAATGGAAAAGTATGAAACACTGCTTTAATTTTTTTAAACTAAGTATTTATGTTTTCTTTTAGACAATAAAGTAGTTTTGTAGTCATTTACTGGTATTTTATTTGCTCATTTACTCAAAGGAACTGGTCATTTACTAGGATTTTATGCATTATATCTTAAAAAATTATCGAATATTTTAAAAAAATAAACATGTTCTCATTTTTATGTTAAAAAAGTTAAATTAGTAAACAAATTCATGCAGCTATTCCTTGCTTTTTCTTTTAAAAACAAAATGAACATTTTTACAAATATGTATATATCACTGTTGCCTAAAGTGGTTTGTTCACCCAGGACGGTTCACCCAGGACGGTTCACCCTAATTAAAAAAAAAAAAAAATGGTAAATTTTTATTTAAAAAAATTTAAAAAACATCCTGTCATCAGCAGGATTCGAACCTGGGGCCCTTCGATCTCAAATCCCTAACTCTAACCACTGAGTGCCATTCACCCTCTGAAATTGTGTCATTAATATACATTTGCATAAGAAATGGAATTAAGGTTTTCGTTTAGAATAGCAATACCTACAAGTATGTATGATTATTTTCACATAAGAGAAAAGATATCAAACTAAATATTCACCATTTTAATTCCTATCAACATTTTCAAAAAACATTTTGTTCTGTAATTAAATAATTTATTTGTTGCAAACTTTTTGAGAAATACTGTATACTATACAAATTGTACTTAACTGTGTTCACATTTGAAGGGATACTTATTAGTGGTTTGAAAATTGAGTTGAAAAAATATGACCTAAATAAAGAGTGCCATAATATATGCAAAACGTCCTGATACTTTTTTACAAATGGGAATTCTGAGTAATTAGTACATGCCCTGCTTTATTTGCCCAATAAAAATCATATTGATGACACTTTAATAGAGACATAGGATGAATTATATTTTATTTATTATATTATATTAATATTTGTCTGTACATTTTTTTCTTATTATTTTATTATATATTATGTTTATGATTATTTAATATTATATAATGTATTCAAGAGATTTTCAATAGCATTTAAAATTTATATGTATATTAGGATTGTCCAAATGACAGCTGTTTAGTTTAAACTAATTAAGAACAAGAACCAGATCATTTTTGTTTGTTTATAATACCCTAATAGCCAAAGGGTATTTCATTGAAACAGTACTAAACTAAACTTATACACACATAAACTGTGCCTCCTGTAAAATTTCTAAATACCACCATTCATTACAAAAGAAGTGTAAACAAACATTAATTTTGAACTATTTGTATAATTTTTTTTAACTTAGATGGTCTTTGCTGATCATTTATTTACATAAATGAAAATACTAATATTGGAAATGTTAAATACGAAAATTGCCATTGCAATTTAGTTATTTTAAGTCAAAGATGAAGTAGATATTTATCAATGGAAAAAATTAAATGTCCACATCAAATTAAGCTAAAAATTTAAATAAAACTGCTTTATAGATTAAATAAAATTAGAATCACAAATTTCAATTCCTAGAAGCACACTTTTTTTCATTCAATTATGTTGTTTTGGCGATTGACAATAAACAGTTAGGTGATTTGGTTTGGCTAATTAACATAAATTCAGTGCTCCCTATATATTCTTCTGTATATTTCAACACTAATGAAAAGGTTAATGTTCTCAGTGTTTTACGCTCTTTACGACATTCTGTACCACTCATCGTCAGTTTTAATTAATCAAATCTCATTGTCTGTTCTGAGAAAATTTAAGATGACACATGCATGAATGGATGTGAAAAACCGCAAAAAATTAGAAAGTTTACCTTGTAAACCTGCCCGTAAGTTCCATTTCCTACGACCTCGATGAGCTCAAAGATTCCTGCGGGATCCTGCAATGAAAATGTTTTGATAACAAAAGGAAAACTTGTGTTGTATTAACTAAAGGATGATTCACACCCATAAAGTTGACATGTTTACACAAGAAATTAACGCCGTACGAGCTTATTTGTGGTGTCTTTGAACTTCAAAAAACGTGGTTTTTACTACAATTCAGTAATTACTCACTTTTAGGGCTGTCAAGTCGATATCATCCAGCGAACAGTTCACCGATGGGGGCATTTGATGCGCCATTTTGATTAAGTTCACTCACTTTACAATCAAAATAACACTGATCTCTTTAACGTACCCGTTTTACACTATAAAATTAGAAAAATACATTAAAGACATAGCCATAGATTCGACAAAATTTAGTATCACACCGGTGTTAAAGTATAAAATGCATTTTTAGTTAAAAAAATTGTTCTTCCGATACACAAAACATGTTTCAGACTTTCGGCGCACCCTTCTCTGTCGACGAGACGACGAAGACAGAAAATTTTTGTTGGTGTTGCCACTGCCACGACACTAATTTGGCATAGTTGCCACATCGATTGGCCGTGGCTAAACTTACAGCATCGGCTAAACAACAGACGACATAAAAACATTGAACCACAGTATAAAGATTATTACTTTATACTGTGATTGAACTATACAGGGTATTTCCGAACTTAGCGTCCAAATTTGTAGGGGTGGTAGTTCGCATAATTTGAGAGCGATTGGCAGATTTCATTTTTCTAAAAAAATTATAATAAACAAAATACAGCCATTATAAGAAAAATCAAAGAGCAGGTCCTACCCTGATCATGTAGCGCGATAGTCATCAAAAACAGAAGCGATTTGTAATGTTGTCGATTCTAAAGCCTTGGTTTCTATTTGAACACTCCGTCGCGGTGAGCGGACAGTCCGTCGACCGTCGCGTTTTGACCATTTTATTAAACCAGAGTATTTAAATGGGAATGGTTTTCTTGAATCCGCTTAGCTGAGCAGGACAGCGTCATGCCGCTGATTTGCCGCGAAGAGTCGGTTCATTTCTGTTGAGTTTGATATCAGCGGAATCGTCGGCGTGTGCGGAGACTTAATCAAAGTATGTGGCGGAGTAGTATTGTTATTATTTTTAAAACAATGAGCAACAAATTCACACAGATGACATCATGACTTTATTTTTAGGTTTCTTGGATATTATGTCATTTATAAAACTCAAAAAGATCTGTAGAAAGTCTATACTCCCTAAATTTGATTTCATTTCCAAAAAGCCTCCGCTGCACAGTGATATTAAAGTCACCTTCTGTATCGCGACACAAAAACAACCTATCCACTGACTTATTGGAAACTTTGACGATTGCGATTGCCAGTTCCTCTTGTTCTTCCTAGTAATAATAACAACGCAAACAATTTATTTGCGTCCATTTTAGTACCTTTCGTTTACATTCATAATACATAAATAGCAGGTACAGACATAGAGATAGTCTCATTTTCTATATTTTTTAACAAATCATCTCGGGCGAAAATCGCTGTCCTCAGCGGTCGACGGACTGTCCGCTCACGTCGACGGACTGTCCGCTCACCGCGACGGAGTGTTCAAAGAAACCAAGGCTTAAGCGTAGCGCGCGCGAGTCGATGCGTCCTATCGCTATGCAGGACCGTACCTGTTTATAATTTTTAATTATTTTTATTTTAAATATTTTGGAAAAATGAAATCTGCGAATCGGTCTCAAATTATGCGAACTACCACCCCTACAAATTTGGACGCCAAGTTCGGAAACACCCTGTATATTAAACTGGAATAACAAAGCCGATCTACAAAATCAAGCCACATAGCGAGCATTGTGGCGCCTACAAATGCGTATCGAAATGCACTAAAAAAGAACATCAAAATTAAATTTAAGACTTATTACATTCAACTAAGACCTTTTAATTGAAGGGGCAAGTGGATGAAAGGGGTTATGTTATAAAAAATAGTTTTTTGAGCAATTAACTATTTAATTAGAATCGGCGTTTTTAGTGAGAAATGTCTTTAAAATTCGTTTTTGCGAGAGTAAGAGCCGATTCCACCGTTGTGTTAAACGGAGATTAAAATGACATTGTTAATGTAAAAATGTCATTTTAAACTTCGTTTAACAAAACGGTGGAATCGGACCTTAGACGCACAAGACCAGACCAAGACAAAACACACATGAACTTAATTAATTCTGTCAAGAAAAAAAAATAGGATTAAAAATGTTACATAACCCCTTCAATTTAAGAGAATCACTTAAAAATTATTTTTTATTAATACGCAGCTGAAACAAATAGTACGCCCATGGAAAATCTGACGTAGATGCTCGAAATTGACAGTCTGGAGTCCAAATTGTCATGCGCACCGACCGTTTTTTCACCCATGTCGGCAACGCTCATTGCGTTCGGTCTGCCAAGTTCCTTTAACACTTTTAACTCCAAACGACCCTTTTAGCGTTAGGTTTAGTCCGATTAGTGACAGTTTAACACGCTTAAATGTCATTTAAAAATTTGTCCCGCTCCAGCCCCTGACTGACCGAACTCGCCTGCTGGAGTGCGTTTAGAAACCACGCACGGCGCGTCTGGACCCTATTCTAATGTATGCGGTCAGACGCGCCGTGCGAGGTTTCTAAACGCACTCCAGTAGGCATGGTGATTTGACAGGGTCAATGATATATGTAGTTATATAGAACGATACCTTTTTCAAAATAAAAATATCTTTTCTTGAAGTAAAAAGGTGGCTAATTATTATTACTTTTCTATTTGTATACAGATAAGGAAAGTATAGGAATCATATTTAACAGATTTCAAAAAAGGAGGCTGTTCTCAATTCGTCCTTATATTTTTTATGTTCAGCGATAATTCTTTAACACGGTGTCCAATTTCAACGATTTTTTTTGTTAGAAAGGGGGTACTTCCATATAAATTTGGTTAAAATCCAATAATTGAGTCCATGAAAAAAATCCTCTATTTAATTTTTAGTTTCCTATCTGTATACAAATATAGAGAAAGTATAATAATTATGATTTTTACTTTCCTATATGTATACAGATATAAGAAAAGTACATGAATCATGATTTTTTCGACGGATTTTTACGTTTTGAGGCCCCCTGAATCTGTTTCGACTATTTTCGCGATGATGTGTGTCTGTATCCACCATAACTCATGAACCGATACAAAGAAAAACACCAAACTTTAAACTTAAGCTTTATTCCGGCCTGCGATGAACTGATTAGATTTTGGGCAGAGTCGGAACATTTGGGGGGGTACTTTACTGGTGGTCATTTTTATATTTTATAGAATATATCCGTTATTTACGTTTAGAGAAGAAAATTCTTCAAATAAAAGTTACTTGCATTATCTATAATTTTTGTTCTATTCAAAATTTTCCTAAAATGGTCCGTATTCGAGAAATTTGCCAAAATGTAAAAAAATTATTTTTTATAAAAATTGTTCAAATAGTATATATTAAACGAGCAATTTATGGCCATAAATTGCGAGTTTAATACTATACGTTGTCCACGACCATTATGGTTTCTTTATTAAATAAAAGTTAAGGGTAGAATGGAAAGTTTTTATTAAACATAGGTAATAACTGTTGTTTTTTCCACTTTTCAAATTTTCGATTTTTGGATCTAGAAAATATCGTTATGAAAAGTATCGCCTATCTTTAGTTATCTACCGGAATGTGCCAGAATTACAAAAGCGTGAATTATCATAATTCACTCCGTGATATATGGGTACCATATGCTTTTAGTTAGGAGGTAGAATATTGATTTATTAATAAGTGGTCGTGGACAAAAGTTGTTTACAAAATAATTCTCTATAATTTTTATTCTATACATAATTTCTCTAAAATGGACCGTATTCGAGAAAATGTGTAAATTTCGAATAAAACTCAAAAACGGATAAAGAAAAATACATTAAATTTTAAACTTAAGTTTTATTTCGGCCTGGCGTGAAATGATTAGATTAAAGTCGGAACATCTGGGGGAGTACTTTATGGAAGGCCGTTTTTATATTTTATGGAATATATCTGTTATGTTTAGAGAAGAAAATTGTTCAAATAAAAGTTACTTCTATTATCTATAATTTTTGTTTTGTCAAATTTTCCTGAAATGGTCCGTATTCGAGAAATTTGACAAAATGTACAAAATTCAATTTTTAAGAAAATTGTTAAACTAAAAGTTGTTTGCGATATCGATATCTTTATTTTTTGTTTATACATTATTTTTCTAGAATGGACAGTAATGAAAAAATTGGAGAAAACGTGCTAAATTTAAATTTTTCAGTATTTTCGATTTCAATGAATATAAAAAAATGTTTCGAGGTAGATGTATGTGAAAAATGTTTATATTTAGTTTATCCTCTAAACATTTATAGAGGTGCTGCAATAGGTTGTACAAAATAACTGAAAAAAGCCTATAACTAGATAGATGGTCCGTATTCGAGAAAATTATTTGATGTCACTCTGTAATTCTTGTACTATATATAATTTCTCTAGAGATACTTGAGCACAAAAACGGAATAAGCGAAAAACACCAAATTTGGTAAAGTACGTTATGTTCATCAAAAGCTTAACATGGCATAATTTCAAATTTAGCGTCCTAACTTGTTATTTTACAATTTACATTTATTCTATTTTGTAACATAATAATTTTAAGATAAGACAGACCTACGGCATTCTATTTAGAAAAAGGAATAAAACAAAAATTGTGTGAGAACATTTTTATTTCCCCAATCGCATAAACAAAATGATGAAAAAATAAATCTGTGATATTTAAAGCACCTTAAAGAAAAATATTCATAAACAAAATTGTACACAATTACTTACATGACTAGCACCCAAAAAATACCAAAAATTTTTAATAATCAATGAGATGGTGCACAAGTACTGTAGAGCTGCGAAACTACCAGAAAAAATGCAAGTATCTTCATTTCACAGAAATTTAGATGCGATACTTGTATTTTTTTGACAGTTCTGCAGCTCTACAGCACTTACGCACCACTTGATTGCAATCACAAATGTATCACAAAAAAATACCCAAACAGCATATGTATCAACCAATGGGAAATAAACTGTTCCTATTTACGAATTTTACGAATTTTTTTTATTTTTCGACCACCGCGTCGCTCTTTGAAGACGCGGCGTCGATTTTTGTTATCATTTGATTTTTTTACTTTTTTTTAAATTGTTACGAAGGAAAAATTTGCAGCTAGACATAAGGTCTTAAGACATTTCATGTATATTCGAAGATGATACCATAATACAAAAAAAAAAGTTTGTCGCCACTTTCAATATACGAGTTGGAATTTTATTTTTATCTACATTTTACAAACTATCAAGTATTCAAACATCAAAGAGGGGGGGGGGATATAAAAAGTATCAAAATTTTTTTTGTTTGTTAACTCCGATTGAAATGGCGCCAAACCGTTTAACATTATATTTTTTTTTTAATAAGGTGAACTGACAAAAAGGTAAAAAATTATCTGCATGAAATGCCTTTTGTCTGCTTATAGTTTTACAAACTCACGCGCTAAACGTTGTTAACATATTATGAATAATAGAGTGATGGACTTGAGCGCGTAAACGCTTAAGCATTGCTCTCTGTAGTTGTGTTCTGCACTTGTTGACTCTCCTGTAATAAAAAATAACTCTCATTAATTAGAATACAATAACATTTACCAACTACAAAGTTTTTCGTATACATAATGACTAGTTTTATTAAGTACTTTTATTTTTCAGAGACTACTTCAATGTGTTTTACCAAAAATTAGGCAATAGACTTAGATATTTTTATTAATCTCTTAGATAATCTTTCAATTATATACGAAACATGTAACAAAAAAATATAATAAATGGTTTCAGATTCAATTAAATAGTTTTTGAAACGTATTAAGAGTAGTTCAAATGTACCTTTCCTAAAAAATTAATTTTGCACATTTATGTCTGAAAAAACAATGTGAACAAAAAGGAAAATTAATGAATAAAATTCAAATAGAAAACTGAATTGAGACTTTGCTGCAAGACATATTGAATATTTTTTTTGAAAGGGAAGCAGCTCCAACATTTTTTTTTTTTAATGATACATCACTAAGTTTATAAGTTACAGATTCAATTAAATAGTTTTTGAAACGTATTAAGAGAGTAGTTCAAATGTACCATTCCTAAAAAATTAATTTTGCACATGTAAAAAAAAAAACAATGAACAAAAAGGAAAATTAATGAATAAAATTCAAATAGAAAACTGAATTGAGACTTTGCTGCAAGACACATTGAAATTTTTTTTTTTTTAGAGGGAAGCAGCCTCCATTTTTTTTTAAACGATATATCACTAAGTTATAAGTTACAGATTCAATTAAATAGTTTTTGAAACGTATTAAGAGAGTAGTTCAAATGTACCATTCCTAAAAAATTAATTTTACACATTTGTCTGAAAAAACAATGTGAACAAAAAGGAAAATTAATGAATAAAATTCAAATAGAAAACTGAATTGAGACTTTGCTTAAAGACATATAGAATATTTTTTTTAGAGGGAAGCAGCTCCAACATTTTTTTTAAACTCCCATTAATTAGAATACAATAAAATTTACCAACTACAAAATTTTTCGTATACAGTTTTAAAATTAAAATTTTCGAATTTCAGTGTTTAAGTACTTTTATTATTCAGAGTAGTTCAATATGTTTTTACCAAAAAATAGGCAATAGGCTTAAATAGATAGATATTTTTATTAATCTCTTAGATCATCTTTCAATGATGAGACATGTAACAAAAAATATATAATAAATGGTTCCAGATTCAATTAAATAGTATTTGAAACGTATTAAGAGAGTAGTTCAAATGTACCATTCCTAAAAAGATAATTATGCACATTTATGTCTGAAAAAACAATGTAAGCAAAAACGAAAATTAATGAATAAAATTCAAATAGAAAACTGAATTGAGACTTTGCTGCAAGACATATTGAATATTTTTTTTTAGAGGGTAGCAGCTTCAACATTTTTTTTTAACGATACATCACTAAGTTATAAGTTACAGATTCAATTAAATAGTTTTTGAAACGTATTAAGAGAGTAGTTCAAATGTACCATTCCTAAAAAATTAATTTTGAAAATTTATGAAAAAAGTGAGCAAAAAGGAAAATGAAAGAATAAAATTCAAATAGAAAACTGAATTGAGACTTTGCTGCAAGACATATTGAATATTTTTTTTAGAGAGTAGCAGCTCCAACATTTTCTTTTTTTCACTAAGTTATAAGTTACATGTAAATATGTCACCCATCGTTTTATTTTTGCTAAATCAAGTCACAACTCTTATAAAACCATTTTTCTTATTTCCCAAAAGTTACAAGCAAACTGCATTTTAAAAATTACTACAAAAAACTATGTGGTTTACTTACTTCAGTTTTCACTGGTACAGAGTTTTCTGGAGCCTAGAATTAAAGAAAAACGATGTAAAACATGCAAAATCAAGTTGTTAAATTAAAAATGTGGTGTAAAAATATGTTAAAAGATCAAAAAATAAATAAGACTCATTTTTTTAAAAGTACAGATATTCCCTAAAGTCTAGAATAGTTTCAAGATATATTGCAACAGTTCAAGAGTCCACTCCAATTTATTTTTTAACCTTATGTAGTGTTTCCCACTCCGATGCATTGTGGACAGAAATTGTTTTAAAATTGTTTTCAAATATTTTTAGGAAACTCAGTCATTCAAAAGTTCTTTAAGATATTTTCCACACCACAATTGGAGAAAATGGGCTTTGGGGTCAATTTCATAATGGATCTTTTAATATTGGTTATGAAATCTGCCCTAAGTACATAACTTTTATGTTAAAACAAAGTTTATTTGCATTTAATTACTAAAAACACATTGATATTAAATTTGTTTGTGGTAAAAAAATGTTTTACAGCTGAAATAAATATCTTCTTCCATATTTAATATAAAAGTTATCAGTACAAAATCGTTTCACCACAAATTATCTTTTTTTTTTTTTTAATTAATTTAATTTTACCTAAAATTATGACTTCAGCATCAACTATAGAATAAATACTTTTTTTCCCAATTTAACCTTTTTTTTATAATAATGTGGCAAGGTTACTATCAAACTCCATTCCTTGAATTCTAGTAGTAATTCTCATGGTGTTAGCGAATCCTTGTCAGATTTATTTAGCACAGCCGAACACTTCAGTGTAAAGATTTATAACACTGCCGTTGCCTTGGATGTGCAAACAATTTTAATAAAAGACCAGGATAACAAGCTTTTTATAGTAAAATAAGTGTCCTAAACTCAATCCTAAGACTAATTTTTGATATGCAGTAGAAATCAATGTAAGAATATAAGTAATTCTAGATTTAACTTCATGAAACAGTAAGGATTTGTAAATTGGCTATTTTTATTAATGCTTTAATAATATTCAAGAATATTTTTAGTCTAACCTATGATATAAATTATATTTGTAATAAGATTGAGTAAAAAAATATTGATTTTTTTTTCGTTTAGCATGGGATTAATCTGCAATAGCTTTCATTTAGATAATCAAAATTTAAAAATATCACAGAGTCAATTTCTTCATAAGCCTGCTGATTGGTCCTTTGGGTATTATTTTATCATCCATCAAAATATGAGCTAGATAAACTTTTGATAGAAATTGTAAATATGTCAGACTCAAAACACCTGTCAAAGTATCAGGCCACTGAATTTTAATGAATGTTCCTACAATCGTTATTAAGGTTGTACAAAAATAGTTTTTTTTTGCGATATGGAAACTTACAATAATTATTAAACCTGTAAAATTAAAAACTCCAAATTTGATAGTTTTTCTTAGCGATTAAAATCTTTAATAAGCTTTTTTTGTAATATGTTTAGTACTATCTTAAATTGTTATATAGTAAACTTATTTTTCCAATAAACGAATTTTTTAAAAAAATTCAAGAATTAAAATATTAATCAAATTTCTAGAAAGATAATAATATTTAATTTTTGTATTATATTCCCTCCCGATGAAACTGAAACTAATTGCAACTTAAAACTAGTATGAATAATGAAACAACCCCATAAATTCAATTAAATTGCCCCCTTACCTTGTTCTGATTTCCTCCTGCAGCAGCAGACTCTGACTGAGAGTTTCCGCCTCGTGGACGCGGTGGGCCACGCCTGCGGTAGCGTGGACGTGGTGGCCCACGTGGTCCATCCTGACCGTTCTGCTCTCCAGCCTGGCCCTGGCTGTCCTGGGAACGCGGTCTAGCCGCACCCCTGCCTCCGCGGAAGTTCCGACGGAAGAATCGACGAGGGGGGGCTCGGCCGCGGGGAGCGTCGCCATTCTGATCCGGATCTCCTGGCGGTCCGCGGTAGGGTCCTCTAAAGTATCCGCCGCCGCCGTAGCCTCCGCGCCCGCGCCTAGGCGCGAAACGACGCGGCGGGCCTCCGCCTTGTAGTTGACCGCCGCCTTGGCCGCCTTCACCGCCTGATTGGGCTCCGTCCTAAACAAGGGGGCGAAAAAACGATGATGTACAAAAACCGTTGCAGATTTTGACGGAAATAATGGTAAGATAAGGAAGCCGGATAACTAACAATTTTTTTTGTCTGTCACACTTTTAGAGAAAACGGATTTCTTGTTTTGGAACAAATTAATACATACGGCATTAACAAATCCATTTTTTTAATAGTGTTTCATCAATTACTTTTTTATTTTTGACATCACCTGTGTGAGCATGATGAAGCCATTGATATTTTAAATAGAAATGTGGCTTTTGCCATAAATGTATTAAATATTTAAGTATTTTTCTTGTTTAATATTTACTAACGAGATAATTAAAAAACAAAACAGTTCTCTATGCCTTTTGTTGTGATATGTACTATAATTATTAGTTTTTAATATTATATGATATTAAATTGGCTTTTTAGACCAGAAACCTGAAAAATTTTATTTAGAAAGAACTGCCTAAGACACTGTACAAATAAATTCAATTATCTACAATATAATGTGACAAGGTTACTATCAAACTCCATTCCTTGAATCCTAGTAGTAATTCTCATGGTGTTAGCGAATCCTTGTCAGATTTATTTAGCACAGCCGAACACTTCAGTGCAAGTTTTTAACACTGCCGTTGCCTTGGACGTGCAATTTGAATATTAATCCCTAACATTATATATATTATCAAAGATGCAACCCTGTAAAGTATTCACAATTCTTTATCCTTTTCCCTAACATCAACAGCATAATAAAATGTCTATCCTACTTAGATTTCTTACCATTAAATCCACCAATAATAGAAAAGGGGATAGAGTAAGATAATTATAAATTATTTTTAAATTTAAAAGAAATAAATTATACAAAAGCGAATATTTTAAGATGATTTTCTTTTCAATAATGTAATGAATTTGAATCTGAATTTATTGGAAAGTGCTTTTTATTGAAGCTTCTTGAATAAAAAAAATGTCAAATTGCAATTAAAGAATTGTGTCCCGTAAATATAGTTAAAAATCCATTAAAACAATTATATTAGGTATGTAATAACTTCAAATATTCTCAAAATCATTTAAGATATTCATGGAGACATGCAATAGCCACAAATATACCTGAAAATCTTCTAAAAGGCGTTAAGACCATAACTAATCCTGGAAAGTTTTTAAAATAGGTACATAAAAATCTGGAAAATAATTAATTCTCTTATTTTTTTAATGCTATTTATAAAAATTGTAAAATCTACAATTTTCCATTTGTCTATAAGTTTTTAGAAACTAAACTCACCTAAAATAATCATATAAACTCGCAATCTTGGTGGAGTTTTCAAAACCTGGATATTTTCTAAACTATGGAGAATCTTATAAAAATTATCTTTTCCAATATTCTATTACATATTCTTTAATTTCCTAGCATATTTACGAGATACATTTATGATCAAAAATTGTGTAATTTCGAATGAAACATATTTTTCAATACAGCAACTTTCCTTTTTTAATTTTTTTGAAAATCATCTTCAGGGTCAATAATTACCAACCTTTACCTCGCCATCGCTTAGACTTTCTCTCGGCTGTCCGCCGCCTCTGCTGCCTCCGCGACGTCCTCGTCTACCGCCCCTCGGGTAATACCATTGGCGGTAACCCCTACGGCGGTCGGCAGCGTACGGTGAACCTCGGACGGGATCACCATTGGGGCCGGTTACGTTGGCCGCTTCGTTGCCTTTCTCTCCAACCACTACGCTAAATTCTACCACTTCGCCATCGCCGACTGACCGGACGGCTTTCTTTGGGTTGTTCTTTATTATGGCCGACTGGAAATTATCAAAACGAAAAAAGTTTTGTTAACAGGGATACTAAAGTCTATTCAGATTTCATTAACGCCGCGTCAAAACAATCTCTCCCATCCAGCAACAGCTCACGTGACATTTTTTTTGCGCTTCTATTGGTTAATCGGTCGATAGTCATTTAGACGACGTGCAAATATTTTTTGTCAGAGTCGAATTCAGTTCAATTTGGATAATTATAAACGGCGTTTTGGTAGCATTCACCGTGTTGGTTAGTTTGGACATTTTGTATGTTTGATTGATTATAATTCATTATATTATAGTTTAGATATACATATATTGTGTTATTTATTTTGTTTGTTTTTGTGGTTGTTGTTAGTTATGGAAAAAGTTATCGACCATGTTCGCCAAAAAGTTGAAGTAAAAATGTGGTAGTTGGATATTATTATACAGGTTCAGTTAGAACCACTTGTAATTTTGATTAATGAAGATAGCCCTTCAAGTCTAACGAATTTATCCGATTCAGAATAGTGCTAAGTCAAGTAAGGAAGATTGCTATAATACAGGGTACAAGGTGTCAATCTAAATACTAGTAGAACAAGAACAATAAAAAAGTTGTCAAAAATACAAAAGGTTTCTTTTTAAGATACACAATTTTAAATCAAATAGCAAATTCAAATACCTCTTATATTTAAAGTTTTTTTAATGCTTTTAGTAGATATATATTAACTATTAAAGAATTTGCAATTATTTGGACACCCTGTATAATATAATTTTATAATATGATTGTTTTAATGCTCTGTGTCACAGTAGACATATGTAATGAACTAAATATAATACAAACATCTCTTTTAAAGTCAAATACATTTATTAATTTGTATTGAAGGTTAACGCAGTTTATGTCGCTCACCTATCTTCGTCCAGAAATGTCACTAAAGTCTGGGAGACCATGTATGGCATTTATTTTATAGTTTTAGTTTACAAAATATGTTTTTATCGTAATAAAAAAATAATTTCACAATTACTCTTTTATTTTACATTTTTGCAAGACGGAAAAGTAAAATACGGCCCTGCTCAATTTTAGCGTCCACCTGCTTCTGTTTACATCAGACGTAAATTAAATTTGAATAGACTTTAGTCAACAATTTGTAAAAACTGTGGCACCAAAGATATAAAATCCACTTCCCTTGCATGTCAGAAATATCAAAACAATTATTAAACAATGTCTAGGTTTCTCCTAGAAGTTTTATAATATATAAATATAACTAATATAGAAAAATAATAAACTGTTCTCCACAAAATGACTAGCAATACTTTATTTAAAAAAAAAGTATTACATAAACAGTCATCATGTGGCGGTACTGTAATATAGCACACTTATGACTCAGTCATCTCTTAGAAAAACAGAGATGGATCTAAGGAGTGTGCAAAATTCAAACTCACCAAAATAAATAAAAATTGAGTCATAAAATCATTCAAGTAGCTTAAAAAATGTTAAATAAATTTAAAACCTTTTGAAAAGAAAGAATCTAATGTATTTATATATTATTGTAAACATAGGCGCCAACTTTTGTTTATCTCCAGGAAGACCGAACCAAGACGTCCGGTCCCCATGTGATGAGGGCATGTCGTTGCAATATTTTGTTACCTTCAACATTAATCCTTACCTTTGACGCTTCGATTCGGCAAATACTCGGGCGCCAGTTTTGTTAACGTGGTCAGCTCCATAAAAAATAAATCCAAAAACTTAAACGTAAATTATAATCAAAGACAAAACTATTTTCAAAATAATCAAAAAACCAAATTTTTCATTTGAAGAATTAAATAATACACAAACAAATTTGAATAAAAGTTTTGATGATACTGTTTATCAAAACTATGCTTTAGAAAATGAATGAAATATACGCGGATGAACCGTACGAAAATCATGATAATAATCAACAATATAATTATAAAAATAAACCAGAAAATGAAACGCAACAAGTTGGAAATTTTTCGGAAAGACTACTTATTGACACTGGTAGTTCCAAATCAATAATTAGACCACTCATTATTGAACAATATTTTCCTGGCACAATTTATCTCGCAAATATAACATTGAAAACATCACACGGGAGTAAACAGATCCGATTTCAATCAGATATAACAGCATTTGCAGAATTTAATTGCCAGTACGTGATTAATTTCATTGTATATGATTTCCACGACTTTTTTGATGGTGTTATTGGACTTACTGACCCAGTTAACATGAACTTAAAATATAGATTTAATAAACAAGAAATTACTAGGCCCCTATGTTGAAATTCCTTTTAAATAGACAACCAAATGATATAAATTTTTCGTTTACCGTTAATGGTAAAGAATCTCTTTTAAAAAAATTACTTGTTAGTATACAGGATAAAGATATAATTATTGAAGAAACATATTTTGGAAATATTTATTTACCTCGAATGATAACAACCGCAAAAAACGGATTTGCTTTAATTGAAGCTCAAAATTAAACAGATTAAAAGTATTTCTATTAAATTAAATAATCCTATTTTAGCTAAACAATTCCAAAATTCTGAGCATGAACTATACAAATTTGAATGTTTTAAAAACGAATTTGATGAAATAAAAAATTCTAAAAACAAAACTGATATTTCAAAATTAATTAGAACGAATCATATGAACTCTGAAGAAAAAAATAAAATAAAGAAATCCGTAAAAGATATTTGTACAACTAATAATAATAATAATAATAATAATAATAATAATACTAATTCAAAAAAATAATTTGCAAATCGATACTAATTCAAAAAAATAATTTGACAAACTATGAATCATCTCAAAATATAATAGGTGATGATGGGAAACTTTCTAAGAAAAATCCATTAAATAAAAAAGAATGTTCATTGTTGCATAATAATATTAAAATAAATACAGCAAATATTTGTATATATAAAAAAAAAAAAAAAAAAAATAATACATTTTTATCATCAAATAGTATTAAAACCAAAATCAAAAAACCTGGAACCTACAAATGTTATAGAAAGAGAATAAAATTTAAAAACTTTACAAACGATAGAAAAAGAGTAAGATTCAAAAACTGAACATTAATAATTTAGTTTTGATAAAAATAAACATAATTTTAATTAATTCATATTCCTGAGCGTTGTTTAAACTCTTATAAAAATTAAAGTTTTATTACCTCCAATTGTAATCAGAGAATCAATAAATAATCAAGTAAGAATAGAAAAGATTTTTGAAAACTCTAGAATATACGTCCTTATCTAAAATTAATTTAGAAAAACAAATTATTAAATTTGTTAAAAATTATATTGATCCAAAATTAACATTATGCTTTATATTTTAAAAATCAAAATTTACCTGAAACAGTGCAAAATAATTTTAAAAATCCTGCATTTAAATTTATACATTGTACAAAATTCTTTACAGACATTTTAATAACTGATGAACAAAAAACTAAAATCGAATATTACCATATTTATAAATCAGGACATAGAGGCATTAATGAAGTAAATACCGCTTTAAGTTCAAGATATTATTGGCCAAAAATGATGGAAGATATTAAATATTACATAAATAATTGTGAAACTTGTCAAAAAAAATAAATATGATAGAAATCTACCAATAATAAAATTTAATTTAACGCCTACAGCCACAAAACCATTTGAACATATACATATTGATGTATTTAAAATTTCTAATCAATCATATTTAACTATTATTGATTCATTTTCAAGATATGGTCAGGCATATCCTATGAAAAGTAAAACAGGAAAAAATGTAGTAGATAATTTATTAAATTTTGTAACCCATCATGGATTACTTCAAAAAATTACAACAGATAGTGGCACTGAATTTAAAAATTATTATTTAGAAGATTTTTGTAAATTACATCATATTGAACTTCATTATACTACTGCCAAAAATAGCAATTCAAATTCACCTGTAGAACGTTTTGGCGGCCTTTCGGGGTCATTTCCGGGGGACCTTGCCCCCCGGGCACCTCCGTAGTTGGCGCCTGATTGTAAACATCTAATAGCTTTTTAAGTAGGAGGTCATAAAGTTAAAATTATTAAATATTATCACCACTATTCCAATTAAAATACCTGATAGGTAAATAAACAAAAGTAGAATATTTGAAAACAAACAAAATACAATAAATGTTAAATTTCAGGCAAAATGTTCACCAAATTACTGTTTTCATACTAACCTTTGACCTATAATTTAATTTATGATTATAATTGTTTATATTTTGAAACCATTACATATTCAATTATTGATCTCAGATAAGGTTTTATTACTTTTGTTATTAAAAAGTAATTTTTTACTTACTTGGTGCACAAAAACGTCTTCCTTGGTATCATTCCTATTGATGAATCCATAGCCACTTTTGACGTTAAACCATTTTACTGTGCCAGTTACCTTTGTAGCTAAATATATATAAAAAAAAAGAAATGGATATAGTAATCTACTTTTATTTAAGCAAAGATGATATATACAGGTTGTCTCAATATTTATCAAGTGTCCTACCTGAATTGTTAGCATTTGGAAACATTTATTAGTTTTACAAACAAAAATATTAATGTAGTCATAATATTAAAATATTTTTTTAAAGTAATCAGTGGAATATTAATTTATTATAGAAAAAAGCATTCTACTAAATAAATTTAATCAGAAACTAATGAAATGTCTCTTTACCTTATTAAATAAGTGTAGATAATTAGAATGTTCTTTTAATACAATTTTTTTAAATAGAAATATATTTTAATGTAGTTTCTGAATTCATACAACAGTTTTTTTTATAGTTTCAGACTTTGCCCATATTTTTATAATGAAAATCATTTTTTTAATAACTTATTTATTGGATCTGATACGGGTTAAAATGTATCTAGTTATTATAATAATTCTGTTATTACTAAAACCCAGAGATAACAGAAGATATAGATATTAATTGATAAATATGGCAATAGGCAATACGGTAATTGTATATCAGGGTGTGAGATATGGGAATAAAATATTTTCACTTATAAAAGACATGACTATTACTCATTGGCAATAAATGTTAAGCTAGTTTAAAGGGTTCATTATTATCCTAACCGAACTAATATACCATTGTTATATTATTTAAATCATTTTTTACTAAATAGACATATTTTGTCCCATGCAATATTTCTACACAAAATGAGCTCAAACAAAAATACACTGTAGATGATTTAACAATTCAAGCAAAGAGCAGAGAAGTATAAACAAGAAAGTACCATCATTCCAGACTATTTTTGCATCCATTGTTTGATGAATGCCTTAGCAACTTCACAAAAGGGTTCGGTGACTGTTATGGCCTTATCTGTGCCTTTTAAGGCTAATTTGTCAGCCTTTTTGTTGCCCTGATATACCTTGCGGCCTGACAACCAGGCTAAGGCACCCTTTAGCTCTATGATGTCTTTTACCAGCCATCATTTGATGTCTGGTAAGAGAATTGCTATCAGAGTAAATTCTGATTTATTAACACACTAGGTACAGGCTAATTATATTTGTAAATCAAAAAGATTTATACATTTAGTTTCTGTATCTAATTATAAATACCTAGAGGTTTTATCCTACTATCCTTAAGTAGGTAATTTCGAAGTTTTAGCACTAGTATATTGAAGTAACTTATTTTTTAAAATGTTTTAACAGAAATTACATTTGTAAAATTATATTTCACTTGTTATTTTCATTTATATTACAATAAAATAGGATTTTTTGTCTGTTTTAACCTAACATTTTGAATTATTTCACAATGTCAATCCACAAAACATAAAACAAATTAATTCATGACATTGTCAATTGTTGACACATAAGGTCCTTGAGTTTACAACGTTGCCAAACACTAGATTTTAAAATCGTTAGTATTTAAGGATTGTGTTTGGAAGAGAAGAAATAGAAGAAAATATATTTATTGGTTATTGGTGAATCCCACCCAGAAATTTTTATTATTCACTTGTGAATGATACAAAAAAATGGAAATTAAGTGTTGTGAAAATATATCTAAAAAAGATTTGTTAGAATGGCTAAAAAATTAAAAATTAATAAAAGACATATTTAAATGCAAGATCTGTAGAAGAGAGTGTGTGATTCACAGAAGACCAAAAAGTAACTCCATAAATTACATTTATTTTTGCAAAAATGCAGAAAATGTTATTCGATATTTAATAGTTTTTTTTTTCAAACATTAATTTAAACATGTGTGGTGATCTCATAATTTATACATTTTAAATAATCCTGAAACCCACAATTTCATTATCAACTTGGCAACGTTGTAATTTTTAAGACCGAATCTATCATCTAGAGTAGATGTTTTGTGAATATAACCTATAAAATTGAGGTTTTTATTTTTAATTAGATTTTTCTCGACAAATACTAGGTTTTACAGGAATTTTTTACAAAAATTTACTATAGAAACTAGTTACTTTTGAGTGTTTTAATTTTTTTTGTAAAATTCGCATCTCTGGATCCCTCGACAGACCCTGACAAAACAAATAGATGAAAAAATCCCAATTTTTGGAAACAATAAATGTTCAGATACAGAAAAATCTTTGCCTCCAGTTTCAGAATAAATATCCAGCAAGTAGCAGCTTCCTTGTATTTGTCAGTCATTAGTGCCTTATCTACCATTTAACAGAATGTATCTTGGTGTCGCGGTGTTTTACTGGCTGTCTGTACGTCGAGCATCTTTTCGTTGGCCATCGCGACCTAGTCACTTGGTGCATCCAAGCTTTTAACTACTTTAAACTTCCCAAGATTAAGTTTACAGTTATAAATTATAATTACCATAAAATATATGTGAACTTTTTGTCTAAAGAATTAAAAAACTCTTGTATGATTTCGGAGCTACCTCAAAAAAAAATCTAAAAGTTTAGAATTAGATAAAAAAAACAGAATTGTCAAAAAAAAAATTCGGTAAGATAAAATAAGACCGATTGATAATAATTTCTGTTAGATTTAGATTGCAGATGCTGCGAAAAAAACGTAATTTGATGAATAGCAGTTTTTCAAACATGTGCTCGCCGAATTTACAAACATGGATGCCGCTTTACGACAAGCCGGACAAGCGGTACACGCCAAGTTAAAATTGTCAAAAAAAATTGATAAAGTTTCTTACCAACTACTTCCTTCTGTTTTGGGACTGCCTTAGGTTGTTCTGGCGTTGCTTGTTGTTGCTCCGCTTCAGCCATGATGGTCGGGCCGGTGGAAGATGTTATACCGCTACCTCACCAAAGATGTTATTTCCTTCCTTTCAAATTCAGTTGTTCAAAGATCTTGAAAATTTTCAATTTGTTTGCCTTTAAATAACCTCGGTTTCCATTATCAACGACATGCATTTCTATTTCTATCTTCTTTCAATGTATGCTCTGGTATTTACATTATTTACGAAACGTTTGTGCTAATTGATCTCGTAATTCTCGTATTAAGCATGCGTAGTTATTATGTCTAGTGACATCTATAAATGAATAGCTGAACTTTTGCGACGTAGTTTGGAGTACGTTCCGTTACTAGGGTCCATAATTTTTTACGCATAATAAGGACAGTCATTTTATAACCCACAAGACTGAGCAATTCTTAGGACCGATTCCACCATTGTGTTAAACAAAGTTTTAAATGACATTTTTACATTAACAATGTCATTTTAATCTTCGTTTAACGCAACTGCGGAATCGGCCTTAGAGAACTTATCTAAGGAGCAATATGATATGGCAACACTGTGGGCCTGGTGATTTGACAGAATCAATGATTAGATAGTTATATAGATTGATCATCGATGTTTTTAAAAAGAAACATAAGCTGAGTTCAATGAGTGTATCGAATTCTTGCTGCGATTGGGGTAGCAGAATCAGTTTGCTGAACGGTACGCTCAATTTACAAAAATTAAATTTATGTCGATTGACAATTCTAGTTCAATTAAGGGTCGATTCCACCGTTGTATTAAACGGAGATTAAAATGACATTGTTAATGAACTTGTTTATTGTCACTTGGGGTTTTAATCAAAAATCTACAATATTCTTTATATTTAAGTGTTTTTTCTATGATTTTTGTCATTATATAAAGCACAACCAGGTTGTTAAAAATATATTTTTCAAGCAATCGCAAATAGCGATAGGTTTTAGATGCTTTTAAAAATATAGGCAACCACCATTACACATTGGTGTATTATGTATTGCCGATCAACTACAAAAATTTTAAACTTGAATAGCTCTTAAACGAATTAAGATAGAAATAAGCAGCAAAGAGCACTATAATCTACTTGCCCAGCTCTACATTTTTATGCATTTAGATAATAATAATAATTCAACCATCAGTAACTGAGAAAATAGCAATAATATTAAAAATATTATAGATAGAAAGCAAACGGACTTCACCCAGTAATTTCTCTTGCTTCCCTCAATATGCATATACATTTTTTTTCAAGATCGAAGCTGAAATAAACAATTTCCATTTTGTCGTTTTCAAAATACCTCATCGTATTTCTGTTATTCTGATAAAAAGATCCGAGTAGCAATATGTGCAATTTCGTTGATAAAATTTTGGTATCAGGATAACAGAAAAGCAAGTAGGTATTTTAAAAAGAGCGGGAAATTGGGATCACTGTGTAATTTAGTTAGTTTTTAAAGTTTAACAGATTAAGTGTCATGAGAAACCAACAGAGATTTAACTATAAAAGTGATAAACAAAGTTCAAAATTATTTCATTGGAACTATGCCACACATCTTTAGTATATTCGTAAATATTTATTACTAAAGTATTTGTTTTTTCCAGATAATTTCTACCAAAATTAATTTAACAAACTTCTGGAATAATTAAAACAGTAAAACAAGTATTTTTCCTCATTTTCTTTTGTTAAATATGGCAAATTTTTTCAATCACGCAACAAGATTTGTGATCTGAATTGGTTCAAATGTAGCCCACAGACTAGTAATAAAGATTATTTTTTTGTCTTTACCATTTTGTTGACCTCTGATAGCACCTAATCTCTTGTCAATTAAAAAATACATAAATTTATAAAAAAAAACAATTTTATCATCAAATATGATGTCTTTCAGAATTACATTTAATGATACACATAGATACACATATAATGCACGGCAAATATAAATAATTATTTAATTAGTTGTATATTATAATAAATGTATTTGAGAAACTAAAAATGGATATAGGCTATAAAGTGAAATCAAAAAATCCCAAGGAAGACGTAAATTTTATTTCAAAATTAATTTTCTGGTATGTACTTTTATTATTAAAAAAATAAAAAATCGCTGTTGCTGTATGATTAGGCATGGAAAATATTGATCAACTTACATTTAGTCATATCATGCCATCTTTCAATATGTTGCGGCATTGCATAGGTACCAATCTAAAGAGTATCTTTTTGTAGTAATAAACTTTTTCGAAAGTAAATGAGAATACAATTTAAGCTCTAAAAACAACATTTAATAAAAGCGTGTTGACCAAACTCAAAAAATCAATAACCTATAAGAAGATGGATTATTTCGGAAAGCCAGGTATTAGGTTTCTTTGGCACATATCAAGAAGAGAGCTCCGTTATGGCAGTATCCCTTCTTGAACTGTGGCTCTATTCCCTCTCCGCTCTTCAAAAGCTCTCCCATTAGTTCTTCCTGAGTCTTGCCATCTGCTTGTTCCTCAGTGAATTTTTCCTTTAGACATTCTTGAGACAACACAGCCATTTTTATGGGTACTAATAATGCCTCTTTGTATGATAAGCCACCTTCTACCGCTTGCGCTGCAGGTGTGGTTGCTCCTCTCCTGTCTTACCTAGTTTTTGGCTTCTTGGATTGGCCTCTTACAGCGATTTCCATTGACAACGGACTGTCACTTTGGAAGCGGCCCCGTTTGACTTGGAGTTTGGTTAGCTCCTTTCTTCTTCGTCCTTCTCTCAGCCCTGGGTCTAATTGGCCGTCCTTCTGCTTTGGTCTTGAGAAAGGCATATTTCCCCTTTTGGGCGCCTGAGAGTCGCTTATGCAGCTCGAGGTGAGTCCTGTAGAGTTTTGAAGCGACTCTTCTTAGGCTAGCTTCATCCTTGGGGTTTATGGAGCTGCTACTTGCCTCCAAAGGTTGTTCCGCCTGGGGTATTGTAAGGTTATCTCTTCCTTCAGGACGTTGCATAGAGGTTTATGGAGACGAAGTTAATTCTCCTGGAATCGCTTCGGTTTCCATTGCCTCTGTTTGTTGTTTTGAAAGAGCTTCTTCTTCTTGGAGTTCTCTGTCCTGATTTGTGTGTTTTGTGTTTTGAAATAAATGTCCTTCCGATCAGAGCCCCACATGACCGAGTAAGGTTGGATATAAGGGGGTTTCACCCAAGTGTCCCTAAGGGAACGTTCATAACCACTTCCTCAGCGGCCATTCAGCCTTCAGCACGTTGCTTTACATCTTGGTTTTTTGGTGGTGTCATTCAGTTAGTTAATAGTGTTGTTCCTGGAGCTGCAATATTAACGTATCCAGTAGTGCCACTAGGAGGCAGACGCTCGATGATTGCACTTCTCCATTGGCATGCAGAAAGAGTTACCTACAAGTAAACAAGCAAGCAATCTAAGCTACAAAGCAATGACCAAACTACAACCAACCCCTTGTCATTAATTTAGACAATAATTAGAAGTGTATGAACTTTCTTCTGGATGTTTTGCAGTCAGAACTGTGGCTAAAAATTTTCTGTATTTTAATACTAATTAATTCGAGACCAACGCTGAATGTGTAATCTGGTGCTTATTTTTAGGTGGATGGTGAGTACTGTCAGAAAAGGAGCAGTGGAATTATCAGATTTATTCAAACCTCTAGACAAAGATAATTCGAGAAAAGTGACAGATCGTCTAGAATTAAAATGGGAAAACGAGGTGCGCAGAGCTCGAAAAGAAAATTCTACCCCGAGCTTTTTAAAAGCTCTGACCAAAGTATTTTTTCTTGAATTCATGTTTTTTGGCGTTCTTTGGTTTATTTTATTTGTAGGCATTAAGTAAGTAACCATATATACACAAAAAAGAAAAATATGTATAGACAAATGCATAAGCTATAGTCTATTTTTATGTATGAGAGAGTATTAAAATAATAAAGCGTTCGTAATCCATAGGCGTATCACTTCTTTTAGTAGACAGTTAAAATATTTTTTGAAGTTATTCCTCGAGTATACACTTATATTTTCACCTGATTAACCTGCTTATAACTTCTAAACAGCTGAAGGTATAAAAGTGCATTTTTTCTAAAATGTTTTATTTTTCCACAAGGTATGTTAAGAACATTGTGTCAAACGGGTTATGTAGGTATAAGGGTTTAAACTTTGACTTTTAAACAACGTTATGTTCATAAATAATAATTTTAATATAAAAACTACTTCTTACCTACAAATCCAAATCAGAATCGAAATCAGAAGATGAACTGTCGCAACCAATATTTACAATGAGTGGCTCGATCATTTCATCAGTAATATTGTCCAACTTCCACATTTTCTCTTCTTCTTTAATCGTATGATTTACTGCCTTTTCCCAGTTTTCAGGCTTCAGATTATTTACAGCCTCCAAAAACAACTGTTTAACATCACTCATTTTAAAAGAATTATTTTTCTTGAAACTTCTCCCTTTATCTGTGCCCATATCAGTACAATCGGGTTTACTTCGCAATGATATGGTGGTGTACAACCACCGTCATCCCATGATTTTTGCAATTTCATCAATTTCATATTTTTTGAATTTCTCTTTATGAAGGAAACACAAATGATACAGTTCTTTTCTCACAGAACCGGGATTGAACTTAATATTCTTTGAATTTAGCCAATTCTGTAAATCTTTTTTTAACCACTTGGTTGTGGGCATTTTTTCTATAAGTCTCGAGTGATAACTTGCATTATCCATTACTATTATACAGTTCTGAGGAAGAAGATCTATAATTTGTTCGAACCACTCTTTAAACACATCAGCATTCATGTCCTCTTGGTAGTCACCGGTACGAGTAGATTCAAAAGTCAATAAACCACCTTTAACAAAATCGTTTGAACTACCGATGTGTACTATTATTAGTCTGCGCCCCTTTCCTGATGGTGGATTTAAACCAGTAGATAAATTATTTAAAAAAGCCTGTCTTCGACTTGTAACAGTTTCATCTTACCAAAATTTATTTGGTTTATGTACCTCGTTGATCCATGTTTCATCTAAATAAAATATATTTCTTCTTTGGTTTCTCATTTCTTTTATAGACCTTAGGTAATTTCTTCTCCATACTACAATATCGCTTTTTTCTATTAAAATAGACTTTCTGGAATGCTTTTTCCATAGAAAACCTATTTCTTTTAAAAGTTTCAGGGTAATCCTTATCATCTCGAACAGTGGCAAGAACTTTGTCTACTGTCGGAAATTCGTTTCTAAAGAAGAACGCATGCACTTTCCTTCGAAGTCTTTCTTTCAAAAGATTTTCTAATTGAAATTTTGGTTTTCCTGGAGCTTTACGTGCTGTTTGAAACTCGCCACATTTCTCTTCTTTAACAACTCTGTAAATCGTAGATTTCTCAACACCAAGGCGTACTACTAACTAATTCTACTGTGTCATCAACACTTTTACATAAATGTTTGTCTGTAAATGATTTAAAACAATTAAATATTAATGTTTTTTCATTAACTGCTAATGGATCGATTTTTTGTCGTTTACGCGGCCCTTCCAAATTTTCCATGATCACACTAGAATTCACACTGCACCTTGCAAGTTGCAACTAAACGGCATTTAGTAAACTGTCAAGAATACACAACTTGGACCTCCTTACTAAATGGAAAACCTATAATTGCATTTTCATTGAAATTTGTTGGGAAGGTATTTATCTACTTATAATTCGATTACTGTAAGAAATTCTTGGAATTAAAATAAAACAAAATTGGCAAATAGGTACTTATTGAAAATAATCTTAAGGTACGGCTATGTAATCTTTAATACACAGGGCTTTTGGCCTGTCCAAACCTTTTTCTATTGTTCTGTACAGCTTATGTTTATAAAGGACCAATAAAAGACCCAAAACTTGTAATAGCTCAGGTACATTTATTACAATTTTAGGACATATTTAGGTTATTCTGTAAAAATATTTAAAATGACCGTACTAAGTTTTGCATTAGAAATGCTGTTTTATTACTCTCTCATACATAACAATAGACTATAATGCAGGAAACTTATTGTCAAGTCCGAGTGCATTAATTTACGTGATTATTCATATAATCGATACCAAACGTTATATTTAATAGCTGATATTACGAATTAATAAAATATGACAGCTCAATCATTTACAGTTACAGTACAGCAGTAATAACAAAACAAGGCAAGTTTACCTTCTAGTGTTTACAGCTTTAATGTACCAAGTATGATTATCAGTTATCATTCAAGTATGGTGTATGATTATTGATTATTAATCAAAGTATAAGAATTTATTACATTGTGAGTGATATTATCGATATAATAATTAGTATAATACTCTTATTTCAGATGTGCTTTGCCTCTAGTTCTTGCAAGATTAATATCACTTTATGCAGACGCTTACACTGAAGAGAGAAAAATAGACTATTACTCAACTAGTGCTGTATTGCTTGGATTAATAATACTGTCTATTTTCTTTTTTAATCATCTATTATTTGGATTGTCTGCTATAGGAATGAGAATGAGGATAGCTTCTTCGTCGTTGGTGTATCGCAAGGTTTGATTTAGATAAATATACTGTTAGAGGTAAAAATGTCTTATATATATTTTTAGATAACCAAATTGAGCCACAAAGCTCTCGGGCAAACAGCAGCTGGCCAAATTGTCAACTTGTTGTCAAACGATGTAAGTCGCTTTGATCAATCAATGCATTATCTCCATTCCCTCTGGGTCATGCCCTTTCAGGCGATGCTTATGTCATACATAATCTGGCAACAAGTTGGGATCTCTGCCCTTGCTGGGATTTTTTCAATGTTGATTGTCAGTTTGCCGGTGCAAAGTAAATATGTTTTATCAATATACCTTAAAATTTTGTATGTGTATAGTTTCCTAAAATTCTTAAATTTTTATAATCCGATTTTTGTTGTTTTTGTAGTATACGTAGGAAAATTAATGGGAAAAATTCGCGCCAGCATTTCAACGAGAACCGACAAAAGAGTCAAACTGATGAGCGAAATTATTTCCGGAATTCAAGTAATAAAAATGTACGCTTGGGAGAAATCATTTGAAAAAATTGTAAAAATGGCCAGATTAGATGAAGTGAAACGGATTTCAAACGCGTCTCAACTAAGAGGAGTTTTTTCCACTTGCGTAGTCATTCTTGAGAGATCTTCGTTGTTTTTCACTATAATTTGCTTCGTTTTACAAGGTAAAGTGTGTTATGTTTTGTAATATCGCTAAAGCAGCAAGAAAATGGTCTCAATGTCTATACGACCCTTCAATCCTATATTTTCAAGGAAATGCAGGATCTGGAGTGGCTCCAAATTGGACAGATCGCCCCCTTCGATTGGATATGCTCCTAAATATAGTGCCCTTGGATTCTGGAGTGCTCCTCACTAAATCTGCATTCACTATCTTCTATTAATCCCACTTTTGAGTCGGCAATGCTCAGTAAGGTTTCCTGTTACAATATGTAGCCACCAGATACGTGCTTTCGATCTATCTTATCCCTAATAAATCGTTAAAATTATCGGTTCTTCTACTGAACAAATTATTTTTCAATCTAATATTATGTTACCGCACATGTCCTACAAAGGGGTCTCAAGTAAGAGTAACTGTATTTTCCTAGGCTACCTCATTTAGTTTTTCATAGCATCTCCAGACCATTTTTGAGCTAATTACGTAAGAACTCAAAGCTTTGATTAGCTGTTTGGCTGTTGGACATCATAATGACAGTGGTCGCCAACCTCTCAATGTGTTGAGCTACTTTGTTAATTTTGGAATAAACAGCGAGCTACCCACACGGAAGCCACGTAACGCAACGTAAATGAAATAATCCACAGTTAATTTATCATTTTAGGTATTTATTTTACTATTTAACTGGTAATACATAGGTACATACATAGGTACTAATAATAAACTAATAACAAAATAACTAATATTACTAGTACGTACTTGTTCGTAGCTACATTCCTACCTACCAAACGAAGGTGTTTGAAAAATAAACACAAACTTTTATCCAGCCACAACGGCATGTCACGTAAGATTTAAAAATAGTTAATAATAACAACAAAAAAGTAACGCACTATCATGAACATAAACATTGAAAAATAAAAAAAGCACGTTCAATGAGAAGGCTGACACTCAGACGCATCGATAATTTTTTTAATGTTTGCAGTATAATTTGATACAGCTATTCGAATACAATTATCCAAATGTTCATCTGTGAGTCAATTGCGATATTTCTTCTTAATAAAATTCATATTGGAAAAAGAAGATTCACACAAATAGGTTGAACTGAATAATGCTTTCACTTTCAAGGCAACACGGCATAGAACTGAATATTTGTCTTTACTTACAATAGGCCAGATACATTTCGTACTTGAGACTAAAGATTTTAAGGCTAAATAATTTTGAAACTCAATTACTTCCATTTCTGTTGCAGCGATGTCTTCGCCAAAGTTCTGCATAACACAAGTTGCAAACTGTTGAATATCAATTTCCATAAAGGGTGAAACAACAAACTGCGCTACTAAAGCCATTTCGTTGAAATCCTTAAAACGATTTTTGAAGTTATTCTTCAGGGTAGAAACTATTTCTACATGATATTTGCTGTCATAGGGTTCTAATGGATTTTGAGATATTTTTTCTGAAAGAATAGGAAAATGCTTGGCATCGCTGTTAATTAGGTTTTGTTCCCAAAACTCCAGCTTTTTGATAAATGCTTTTATATCAGAAAATATTTCCGCTAGTTCTTTGTCTCTCCCCTGAAGCTGCAAATTAAGTTCGTTTAATTTCTCTGTAATGTCCACGAGAAAACCAAAATCTCTAAGCCAGATTGAATTTTCTAGTTCCGGAGTCGGTTCATCGCCTTGTTTGAAAAATTGAACTATGCCAGATAGGACATCATTAAAACGTTTCAGCACCCGTCCTCTACTTAACTATCGGACTTCAGAGTGAAGGAGTAGGTCCCCGTATTGACCATAGAAATAGTATAGAAAGCCGATTCCATATATCAAAAATGAAACCATAAGGAGAAAATAGTGTGTCGGAGCTCATGCGTATAATGGTGCTGGCTCGAACAGGACCGGTGCAAGTTTTTTGTTGATCGAACAAATAGTTCACACCATGATTCATACATTTTTAGAGACGATTCTATATAAAAAACGATGAAAAAAATTCAAGTAAGATAAATATGTTTCTGAAAGAAAAATATGGCACGAAAAATGAATTAGTTAATTTTCAGAAATCATTAGTGCTGCAGTCACGAGATTTTGCTTGTGATTTGACATCTTATTTGATTTAGTATCATTTGCTTGAAGTACATTTAATTTGAGTAGTGCAAAATAGGGGGCAGTTGCGTTTCGCCCAGGAATATTATGTTAGATATTTTTTTACATTTTGTCAGCCAAGACTGTGAGTCGTTACTTACAATTACACAGAAAAACTTTCATGTTACCATTTTCAATAAAAATTATCCAAAGATGTCTGCATCTCTCAAGATTCAAAATTAAAAAATACTACTACATTTACTTGGTACTTGGTACATATTTTATTTTAATTTTGAACTCTTATAAAAGGGTCTTTTGGTTTCATAATAAAAGTTAGTCGCTGCTTATTAGAAACATTCTATATAGTCTAAACCAATTTATGGATTGTTTTAGATCAATTTAATACAAAGATTTAAAGTTTTTAGTCGATCATAACATTCCACATCAGCACATTGCAAACCTATTTTATAGAAAATTCCACACCTGTAATTTTGAACCAATCAAAATACGTGTTTTTGACAGATCACCATGGCAACGGAGGTATTTTAGTGGAAATTTTTTTTCTCGTGGGGTACCCAACAGAGAATTATACTGGAAATTTTTTGACGTTTACAATAACAGACCATTTTTGACAGACTGGTTTTTATTTGTTCACATAATAGGTTTAGTTTTGATACATTTTAGTTACAATGCTAAGGTGTTTTCTATATTCTTCGGCCACTTCTTTTCTTCTTAATGGCGAAAATGCAGGACTTTGGATGCTTTGAATTATGTGTCTATGTCTAATAAAATATATATAATATTTAGACACTAATTTATTCACCTTTTTCCCATTCAGCACTTTGAATTTTGCGTAGTTTAGGTGCAAATATTCGTGGACAATTCGGAACAAATTTTCGTTTTTCAAGTTGGAGCCACAATCCTCTATTAATCCGAGTAAGTAAGTCATGGTGCAATGATTGATCATTACATCAGACAATTTCACGCATATTTTGGCCAAAAAGCGAAGAGGAAGTAACGATTAAAATATCGAGTGACAGAAGTTTCTAAGTTCGTTGAGATCGGGTTTGTATTTTAAAATGCCTTGAAACCCGCATTTAAAAGTATACAATTTAATAGGGTTAATTTTCAGTTTCTACATTTGAAAATATACCCGATGCCAACTCGGCCAGTAATGCCATAAATGTTAGGTACAGGTACAATTTAATACGGTTCATTTTAAAATTCTTTATTTTAAATTATACCCGACTAAAACTGTCTCTGACGTCATGAGCGTTGTGTAAAGGTATATATTCCAAATAAGCAACATTTCATGTTCCATCGCTATCAGGCATAATAGAAGTGGCATCTCATTTAAAATAAAAAGGAAATAACAGAACTGTCAAAATATTTTAGATGGAAAGATCATAGCCTGTTTATTATTTTTAACAATTTTTAACAAAAAATCATTCATTGTTTTGTCAGATATCGACATTGTCTCCCCGTTGCTGGACAGCCTGTATATAAATATACACCTCTCTATTTACATAATTGTAATTCCTAGATAGGTTTAGATTTCCAGTAGATTTCTTGTAATAATAAATGCTAAATACATTGATTACATTTTCATTAGCCAATGTAAAAATGTCTTTTATTGTACCTAGGATTTAACTTAACACTACACGAAACTAAAATAAAAATATCACAAACGATCCTGTAAGGGCAGCGTCATATAGCCTTGAAACACCGGATTAAAATAGTGTTGCCAGGTCAATATTGAATTTGTAGGTGAACCGCTTGGGAATGTAGTTACACATAAATATTATTAGTTGATTATTTAAATGTTTATAAGGTATTTTGTGGCGATATTTCATAGATATAAACTGATTAAATCATATAATTTAAAATTAAATTAATTTGAAATTCTTCTGTGTTAGGTATGTTTAATATACTTGGCAACACTACAGGGACAAGTCATGCATACTGCGCAAGCTTCTAGACACACTATTTTGCGATGTCAGGCGCAGAGACGCGTTTTTATATACAGTAGGTTTCAATTTCTGCTTGGATGTTATATTTATATTGGTCTTCTATATTATTTCTATGGTATTGACAGTCAACTTCATCGGCCAAGGTTTTGAATAATCTTTTTTGTAACGCTTGAGCTCTAATCTTGTTCACAATTTTTACCACCAGTTTCATAACGTTGTTTAGTTTCAGGAAATTTCCACATAATGCTTGCTGATGGATAATGTAGTGGTAACAGAGAAATTGCGGAAAAGTTTCATCTTTACGACATAACGCCACCAGACCCTTATCACAACCCACCATAGCTGGAGCGCCATCCATTTTCGATATTGGAATTTTCTCGGAAGAAATATTATTTTTTAAATGAGAAAACAACTTCTGTCCAGTAGTGTGTCCTTTCAGTGGAATAAACTTCAAAAGATCTTCTTTAATCGTAAAATTACTAAAAACCATCCTGACGAACACGGCCATCTGGGCAGTGTCAACGACATCTGTTGATTCATCCAGTTGAAGTGAAAAAGAAACAGTTATCTAAGTCAGTTCTTAACTGTAAAAAAATATTATTGCTCGTTACTTCTACACGTCTCATCACTGTATTAGCAGAAAGTTGCATAGATTTTATAGCTGAAACTATCTCGTCCTTATTTCTAAAGTTGGCAAATAACGAATTAGCAGCTTCTAAAAACGCCTGTTTTATCATTTCCCCGTCTTCATAAGGTTTCTTTTTTGTGCAATTATCTGGGACACATGGTACGATGCTTCAGTTGCAGCCTTATTTTTGTCGACTGTTCTTAAAAATATTGATTATTGTCCAATTAACTGCTTTTTTAACTGTTTCAGTTTCTCCTTTCTGGCGGCAGAATGTAGTGGGAATGATTTTTCACAATTAGAATGTACAGTTTTATGATGTCTCTCAATATTTCCTTTTTTA